CTTAGTGTCATACTAGTTCCAGGAAAGGGGATGACAAACATAATTCTTTCAAGGATGTTGAGTGATTGTCATGATAATGATTATTCACACTGCTGCCTCTTCAAACTTGTGTGTCTCCAGGAAGTTGTTGAGATATTCCCCAGGCCTCTGAAAAGTCATGTGATCTATGATCTACTGAAAAGGTAAATAACATAGTAAATATAGAAGAAACACAAGGTTGCTGGTCTAGAAAGACAATACATTATGAATTGAAAGAAAATATAAAAAAATTGTAATATTGGAAAATTGGTGCAAAGAAAAACATTTTACCATTTTAGGTTGTAAGACAAATTATCATATCTGTTTATTTAGTACCATTTATGAACATATTTTTGCAATTATGACAATTATTTTACAAGAGAATGTTTTCACAACTACGCCAATTTTTTTTTTTTAGCTGACTCTAGACTTCCAGTTGCTAAACGTACATAATGTATGTCATCAGTAGGGGGCGCATGAAGTAAGGAAAAGAAATATAATTCTTCTAGGGACCCAATAAGTATTTTTATAAATTCTCATTAAATGAATATGTAGAAAAATCGGGAAACAGACGAGGAAAAAGCAGAAGTAAATTCCACAAAGAAAAGTCAAACAAAAATAGGGAAGACTACGTAACAATTCAACCATGGAGCCTTCCAAAACATTGTGTATTTCACGTTTTACTTTTAGGGTGGAGTTATTAACCTCAACATGTTCACAGTGTTTTTTTCATCTGCTGACTTTGAATCAAAATCCCTTTTAAAAACTTAAGGTCAGGTTCACAGAAACAATGGTTATTTTGTGTTAAGCAATGTCCACGTGGTAGGGCTGGCTAGTTCATTAATCAGACAGCAGTTGGAACTTCCAGTGTCACATGCCATTACATGAAAAGCTGAAGCACTCTCAGACAGGGTAAAAATTTGAAAGTCTTGTTATTGACTTAGAGAAATAGTACTGAAAAATGTCATTAGTTTTGATTTTCCAAGCATACAAAATGAGGTGAAATAAGCATAATGTTGTGGCGAAAATAGGAAAGGAAAATAGAAATTGTCCAACATACATCATATATTTCAAGGATTCATTGACGTGTTAAAGAATGGGCTTCTGACTTGATGTCAACAAACTGCGTGAAACCAAGAGTCCATATTACTCATCACGCATATGAATGGTTTGTTTGTCAATATAATAATGATTTAAATTAACATTAATTAGAATACAAAACAAATATTGAAATTTTCTTTGAAAAACATGAAAAAGAAATGTAAAACCCGCAAAAAATGTACTGTCAGAACATCAGATGATAACGAAACAGAATTATTTTATTTTTTAACTGAGTTTATGCCATTGCCCACATTTATAAAGAAAAAGGGTAAATGTTTCATATTTTCTTTTGCAAAGGTGAGATTGAATATGATATTTGTTAGAACAGTAAAATAAGAGAACAGGGTAATGTGTAAGTCCAAACTTGTATTGAGTTGCAAATACAAAAATCTTAAATAAAGGGAGTTCAAAGAATAAGCATTTCAAAGCTCATGCTCTGCATTTCAATGTGTATATACAGTATATATTAATGTATATTTAAATAAATTAAGAAAAGGTCCTACATAGCTGAAGACACTAACATCATTCCTCCAAGCTGTTTATCTTATTGTTGTTTTAATTAAATCTGGGTTGCCCAAGTGTTCTGGTTTTATTTCTTTGTAGAGCCTTTATCAAATTACATATGTCATTACTAATTCACACCAATTCAAATATGGTAAGTCAAACAGAAAATTGACATGGCACAGATAAATAGTCAATGTAAAGAAATGCACAGGACAATTTGCAGTAGACAGTAAAGTTTATACTTACAGGAAGGAAATATTACTCTTTACCATATTGCATAAAACAAAAGTTTCCTGCATGACACATCTTTGTAAATTTCCCAATTCACTTTAAAGGTTATACCAACCACTCCATTAATGAAAGATCTACCCTTTTTAACCTTTTATTATATTAAAACATATACTATGAATGATCTACAAGTTGACCAATAAATGTTGTCTGTTTTCTTGTTGAGTATTGTATAAGCTTGATTTTGCTAAGATTTGTGCTTAAAACAGAAATATTTTATATAGAAACAAGCACTTCAGACCAAATACAATGAAAATCAATTTAATTTTCTCTCAATGTGTTTTGTTTCGGCTAGATAATTATACAGCACCAAGTTAAATTATTTCAAAGGTCCCATTAGCAGGGAAAAATAGGGCCTCTTTCTATTGTCTAAAAAAATGTTACATGTCTGACTTTGCCCAGTGGGAGACTTTCATTGCCTGAAGACAGGAGGGTGTGGTTACCTTGACTACAGACTACAGTAACAACTAGGAAAGCTGTTAAACAGGTTTTGGGAGGAAGGTTGTTTTGAGAACAGGGAATGCTGGTGTACTGAGTTAAAGAAGGATTTGTTCATCTTTACCAAAAGTATATTTCTGATGCAATTGAGCATGTGGGATGGCAGGGGTTTATAAAAATAATACATTATATCTAAACAGCACTTTTCATTTCAACGAATTACAAAGCTCTTCACATTCACCAAGATACCCACTTCATCTTTCACAGAAGTGCAACAGTGAGGCCCGCACATCAGATGGTGTGGTGCAAAGCTGCTTGACGATTTGAACAAAGTGGACATTTAAGGTAGAGCAGATCATTCAAGAGGAGCATAGTATTAACTGGGATTAACATCCCTGCACTTTTACAAAAAATGCTGTAGGGGGTTTAATGACTGAGTAGGCAGGACCTTGGTAAAACAT